AGATATGACAAAATAATAATTTATAAATTATCAAGGGTACATGAGGGAGAAGGGAGCTGGGAGGGAGGGGGGAAATGAGCTGATACCAAGGGCTCAAGTAGAAAGCAAATGTTTTGAGAACGATGATGGCAACAAATGTACAAATGTGCTTGACATACAGTGGATGCATGTATGGACTGTGATAAGAGTTGTATGAGCCCCCAAAATAATGATTTTTTTTTTAAAAAGAACTGTATAATAGTGTAACCACTGTGGAAAATTGCATGGTGCTTCCTTGAAATATTTGGAGATTAAAAAAACACACAAAACCTTATGACCCGGAGAAAAAAGAGCTACAACATGAATAGACATATGCACAGCCATGTCATCCACTATTCATAAAGCAGCAAACAGGTGGAAACAACTGGACAGTCCATCAATGGCATAATGAAGTATGGTACACACACACTAGGGAATGCCATGCAACGTTAAAAAATGATGAATCTGAAACACCTCCTAACATGGATGAACTTGTGAAACATTATGCTGAGTGAAATAAGTCAATCACAAAAGAGCAAATATTGTATGAGACCACTATGATAAATAAATGAATAGAAAAGTTTTCACACTAAAAGAAGCATCCTTTGATACTTACCAGTAGTGGAAGGGGAAGGGAGGATAAATTACTAAGTAGAGAGTAGACATATCTTAACTTGTGAAGAAGAAGGTGATCCCAATAAGAGGAGGTCATTGTTTTTTGTCTTTTTTTGGGGGGGGGGTTGCAACCATGACATAAAACAATGTGTATGAATTGTTGAACAGAAAAAGATGATATTCTCTGTAAATGTTCTCCCAGTTCACAATAAAAAGTTTTAAAATAAAAAAACAAGGTCATACAATATTTGTTCTTTTGTGGTTGACATATTTCTCAACATACTATTTTCAAATTCCGTTCATATTGTAGCAGCTAGCAAGCCTTCATTTTTTTCTTACTGGCTGAGTAGTATTCCATTGTTTACAGTCATGTGTACCACGTTTTGTGTATCCATTCATGCATTGATGGGCATGTGGCCGTTTCCACCTTCAGGTGGAACAGTGCTGCGGTGTCCATTGATGTACAGGTCTCTTTTTGAGTCTCTTTTCAAGTATTTTGAGTATACACCCACGAGAGGGGATGCTGCATCGTGTAGTAGTTCTATATTTACTCTTTTGAGGAGTCCCCTACACTGTTTTCTACAACCATTGTAACATTTTGAATTCCTACCAGAAATGGAGAAAGATTCCAATTTCCCCTCTTCTTCACCAACATTTGTTATTTTCTGGAGAGTGCCCGTGTGTGTGGTGTGTGTGTTTCTCATTGTTTTTATCCTAGCCATCCTTTAAAGCAGCGGTTCTCAACCTGTGGGTCGCACATTTCTGATGGTCTTAGAAACCCAGGCACCGCTCCTCTATCCATCTCCACACGGGTCTGCCCACATGCAGACACGCCCACACACGAGTACCCGGTGTGAAGACTGCTACCCATGCGACACCGTGCTTCAAGACAAAATGGCATTGATTTGTCATTAGAAATACATATTACACGATATATAATTACATATTGTGTTTGTGATTATCCACTATGCTTTAATGATGTTCAATTTGTAACAATGAAAATACATCCTGCATATCAGATATTTACATGACGATTCCTAACAGTAGCAAATTGACAGCTAAGGAGTAGCAATGAAATAATTTTTATAGTTGGAGGTCGCTACAACATGAGGAACTGTATTAAAGGGCCGCGGCATTAAGAAGGTTGAGAACAACTGCTTTAAAACAAAAACAAAAACAAAAAAACCCTCGTTGCCACTGAGTGGATGCTGGCTCCGAGCGGCCCCGTAGGGCAGAGTAGAACTGACCCTCTCCAAGACCACTGCTTGTAGGGGGAGAATGCCCAGTCTTTCCCTTGGCACCCTAAGAAGTGAGATGGAATCTTACTGTGATTTTGATTTGCACCTCTTTGATGGTTAATGATGCTGAGCATTTTTAGTGGCCATTTGAAGGTCTTTTTTTTTTTTTTTTGTAAAATGTCTATTCAAGCATTTTTCCCATTTTATGTTTGGGTTTTTGGTCTTTTTGTTGAAGTTTTATACATATTTTGGTTATTAAGGTTTTTCTCTCTCTCAGATATATGGTTCCCGAAGGTATTCCATCAGCAGCTTGTCTTTCTGATGAACAATTTTTAAAATACCTTTCTATGGGGTTCCATTTATTTATTTTGTCTGGAGCTGTTTATGCTTTTGTTTTTTCTAAAATCCACTGTTAAAAGTTAGGCCCGATCGCTTTGCCTCTGAATTTTCTTCGAAAAATTTCATACTTTCAGTTTTCACATTTGGAACTGTTATCCATTGTGAGTGTGTGTGTGTGAGTGTGTGTGTGTGTGTGTGTGTGTGTGTGTGTGCAGGGTGCAACTGAACATTTCTCTTGATCTTAAGGAATTCCTCTCTTCCACTCTGATTTTCGGTTTGTACACAAGAAGGACAGACAGGCACGACTTGACTTTCTTCCTAGCTGCGTTCCTCAGCTCCCTGCCATCCAGGCAATTCTGAGTGGCAACAACCCTGTGGGTTTCGGACCCTGTCAATCTTTATGAAAGCTGAGAGCCTCGGCTGGCCCACCCAGGAGCAGCGGGTGGTCTCGAACTGCTGACCCTGGAGGTAGCAACCCAACGCTTACCCCGCTGCGCCACCAACGCTTTTAGCCGGGCCCCCCCTCCTCCCGGGCGACGCCAAACAGGTACTACCCCCTGGCTCGGGCCTTCCCACTCACCGCTAACCAACTCTTTCCCCTGGCCCCACCCCGCCTGCGCGCCGCCCGCCCTCTTTGCTCCCTCCAAAGCCTGAAGGCCACGCCCCCAGCTCCAAGCGTCTGGATCCCGCGGAGTTCACCCGTGACGTCACTCCGGCCCACAGCCCCTCGGCCGCCCTCTCGGCGCGCGGCGGGGGAGGGGCAGCTGACGAATGAATGGAAGGCCGGGCTTCCCGGACGCGCCCCGCCCCTCCGCGCCCCGCCCCTCCGCGCTCTGCCGCACCAAATCGCGGAGAATTAAAAATAAATAAATAGAAAGGGTGGGCTTTAAACGTTGCTCACCCTTCAAATCGCGTCCCGCCGCTGGAATCTCGTGAGATCGTGACGTATCCCGGAAGGCCCGCCCCCTGTGTCATGGAGGCCAATAGGCGACGAGGACTGTTGAGACCGTTGGCTTTTGAAGGAGCCAATGAGGACGAGGAGCGGAGAGTTTAAGAGGCGTAGGCTGGCGTTGCGAAGGCTGGTTCGGGACTGGAACCTGACAGGAAGCGGACGCAGGAACTCAGCTGTGGTAAATCGAAGCGGGCCGCTGCCTGGGGTGCTCGGCTGCCTCGGGAGCGGGGCTGCCGGCGGGCGGTGGGGTCGGCTGGCCGTGAGCGCGTCTTCCGAGCACTGCCGGCTGCCTTTTTCCAGGACTCGGCCGGTGCCAACTCCAAGGACCCTCGCTTCCAGGACGCGCCCATGGCGCACTTCGTGTTCGAGAGTGACCTGCACTCGTTGCTCCAGCTGGACGCTCCCATCCCCAATGCACCCCCCGCACGCTGGCAGCGCAAAGCTAAGGAATCGGCGGGCCCGGCGCCCTCTCCCATGCGGGCGGCCAACCGATCCCACAGCGCCGGCAGGACCCCCGGCCGAACTCCTGGTGAGTGGGTGCGGCGGGGCCCGGGCCAAGAGGGGATGGCTGAGAGCAGCGTGCATTCTTGCAGCCCTGGAAGTCTGGTCCGAAAGTCAGCCCGCTTTCTCCTCGCCCCAGGTAAATCCAGCTCCAAAGCTCAGGCCACCCCCAGCAAAGCTGGGGGCGACCGCTATATCCCCCATCGCAGTGCTTCCCAGATGGAAGTGGCAAGCTTCCTCCTCAGCAAAGAGAACCAGCCCGAAAACAGCCAGACGCCCACTAAGAAGGTATGCATGTGTCCAGAGGGGCCTCAGGAAAGAGCACGCCGCCGCCTCTGCCTATTTGCATTGATGCCCTCTCCCTGTCTGACTACCAACCTTTTATTCACACCCAGGAACACCAGAAAGCGTGGGCCTTGAACCTGAACGGTTTTGATGTCGAAGAAGCCAAGATCCTAAGGCTCAGTGGAAAACCCCAGAATGCCCCAGAAGGTAAGACCTCAAAAAGGGGTTCTTGGAGGGAACTGTCAGCCCCCGCCCCGCCACCCCCCCTCCCCGCCGCCCCCGGGGCTGAGGGGAGAAGTCGGTTTGTTCTTCCCATGGAAAACCTAGGAGAGGGGAACTAGTGTCAGCTCTCCCAGTGTTCTGAACCTTTTCCGCCTTTCCTGTTGCCACAGGTTACCAGAATCGGCTGAAGGTACTTTATAGCCAAAAGGCCACGCCTGGCTCCAGCCGGAAGACCTGCCGTTACATTCCTTCCCTGCCTGATCGTATTCTGGATGCCCCTGAAATCCGGAATGACTATTGTGAGTGCAGCCTTAAGGGATGGAGAGAAACCAAGTGCCCATAGGCTAGGCAAGCAAGATTCTCATGTTCATCCCTTGTCTCTGGCAGACCTGAATCTCGTGGACTGGAGCTCTGGAAATGTACTGGCGGTGGCACTGGACAACAGTGTCTACTTGTGGAGTGCAAGCTCCGGTGACATCCTGCAGCTGCTACAAATGGAGCAGCCTGGGGAATATATATCCTCTGTGGCCTGGATCAAAGAGGGCAACTACCTGGCTGTGGGCACCAGCAGTGCTGAAGTGCAGGTGAGGCTTGGCCTTGTACTGTGGTGTACTGTGGTCCTGAGACCCAAGAGGGGTTGCCCAGCTGGAAACATTAATACCAAATCCTCATCACTGATCCCAACGATCTTTTCTTCCTCTAGCTATGGGATGTTCAACAGCAGAAAAGGCTTCGAAACATGACCAGTCACTCTGCCAGAGTGGGCTCCCTCTGTTGGAATAGCTACATCCTGTCCAGGTCAGTGGTGGACCCTTGCCTACTCCTGGCTGTGCAGCCCTGGCCTGAAACAGCTCAACTTGCTTGTGTTTGGCTCCACCAAAGAACTTATTTGGTTCTTTTTTTTCCCCTCCCTTTCCCCAGTGGTTCACGCTCTGGTCATATCCACCACCATGATGTCCGGGTAGCAGAACACCATGTGGCCACACTGAGTGGCCATAGCCAGGAAGTGTGTGGGCTGCGTTGGGCCCCAGATGGACGACATTTGGCCAGTGGAGGAAATGATAACTTGGTCAATGTGTGGCCTAGCGCTCCTGGAGAGAGTGGCTGGGTTCCCCTGCAGACATTCACCCAGCATCAAGGCGCTGTCAAGGTGAGAGTGAAGCTATGTTGGGGTCTCCAGAGGCTTCCCTAGCCCTAGGAACTATTAAAGGAACGGGGTGGTAGGATTAGGCTGGGTAAATCCATGACCCCTATAGCTCCTTGGCTAGCTCCAGTACCTGCTGATTCCATCTTATTTCACCTAGGCTGTAGCATGGTGTCCCTGGCAGTCAAATGTCTTGGCAACAGGAGGGGGTACCAGTGATCGACACATTCGCATCTGGAACGTCTGCTCTGGAGCCTGTCTGAGTGCTGTGGATGCCCATTCTCAGGTAGCCTTTCACCTAGTCTAGATGTCTCTATAGTCTTAACTAGGTAATCTTGTCCACTCCAGTGGCTTCACCGACTCTGATGGTTTCCAAATTCTAACTTGGCTTTCATCCATGAGTCTCCCCACCTCCTACTTATATTTCCAGTAGTTTGTAAGATAATCTTCAACCCTGTGTCCTGTAGACATGCCACCACCTCTCCATGTGCATTTTCCCTTGCCTCCCCCAAAATGTGTTTGCTCCTCCTCTTAGATTACTAGAGACTGGCAAAGCCTTCTCAGAAATTAAAAAAGCAAACGCCTAGAATGTTTCCTCCTCATCACCCAGTCTCCCAAATTCTCTCCTTCCTGCAGCCTCACCTCCCCGCGGACGATTGCAATGGCCTCCTCATTGTTCTGCTCTCTAATTCGTCCTCCACACTGTGATCTGTGTAGCCTTTCTAAACGGTGAATCTTCATTGTCTTTAAGCACAGCAATAGCCTCTCATCATCCATAATCCAAATTGAGCCAGGATGTTTGAGGCCTCCTAGCAACCATGCTAGCTTCTTTTCCTTCCATCTTCCCAAGCAGCTTTCTCGAGGCCTGGGCTCTGTAGCCAGATAACTTGAGTTCACGTTCTGGTCCTGTCACCTAACAATTTACACCTGACCTTAGGCAACTAGCTGAGATTTCCTTAGGTCCAATTCTTCCCCCATAAAATGGCTAATGTTAATGCTTTCAAAGCACTATGGCAGGGAGCATAACACTTAGCTCTGATTTGAGGAGCACTTGCTATATGTAGTGTTCATGCCATCTCCTCCCCACAGGTGTGCTCTATCCTCTGGTCTCCCCACTACAAGGAGCTCATCTCAGGTCATGGCTTTGCCCAGAACCAGCTGGTTATTTGGAAGTACCCAACCATGGCTAAGGTGGCGGAGCTCAAAGGTAAGTCAGATGGAAAGGCCATATTGTAGGATTGCATTTATATGAAATGTCTAGAATGTAAATATCCAGAGACGGGGAAGGGAGTGATTGCCAAAGGGGACAGGGCCCCTCATGTATGCAGCTATTCTAGTTAGATCGTGGTGATGATTGCACAGCCGTGAATACAGGCAGTGCCCAGATGACTAAAAAAAGTCTGCCTTTAAGCTGAATTTGTACATAAGTCCACATAGTTCGATCAGTCAAATGTTTGTCCAAGTATGTGATGTACTTTTCTATGCACTTCCAGACACACTGAAACATCTTTGAATTACTGTAATGATGTTTTGATGCATATTGCAAAGCCGTGCGCACTTGTCATTTGAAATAATTGTATCTTGAGTTTTTAATATAATAAGCTTAGCAGGGCTTGGGGGCGCTCATAGATTAGATCTGGCAACTGGAAGACAGTTTGTGAACTACAGCCTATTAGGGTGTACAGCACCATACGCTATAATGTGGTGGAATGTATGGTATGTAAATGAAATCTCAAAGCAGTTTAAAAATCACAGATGTTAGGCAGCCATCAGTGGGAGGGCTGTAGGCTGTCATTCACATGTCCTCAGTGGGAGGGGCCACAGGCTGTCCTCATATTCATGTGTCTTGCTTTCCTTTCCATCCCCCACCCCCGCTTTTTTCATTACCAGGCCACACAGCCCGGGTCCTGAATCTGACCATGAGCCCTGATGGGGCCACCGTGGCATCCGCAGCAGCAGATGAGACCCTGCGGCTCTGGCGCTGCTTTGAGTTGGACCCTGTGCGGCGGCGAGAGCGGGAGAAGGCCAGCGCAGCCAAAAGCAGCCTCATCCACCAAGGCATCCGCTGAGACCCACCCGACCCAGGGTTTTGTTTTTGTTTTTTTAAAGTTTTTAATAAAAGCCATGTCCCCCTTTCTCCTTCCTTGCATGACCTATGGCTCTTCAGCCTTCCCAATGATCAGAGAACGAGAAACGTCCCCTGGGAGCCTTGCCCATCCTTCCTTGTGTCAGACAGGACTAGTGGCTTATGTCCCCCTGCACCCGTTCTCTCCCATTCCCACAAGGTACACGCATAGCCGCCTTGGTGGTTTCCTCTGTCACTTTAATGAAGACAGTGAGTGAGCAGCCTCCACAGGCTGCATTTCCATGCCCCTCTCCCACCCTGACCTTTGGCCGAGAAGCTCTGTGCTTCAGTGGGGGTGGAGGAGGACGGAGCGTGGGTCCACAGTGGCAGATTATTGCTGACCTCTTCAGTGTGAGGAAAAGGCCACAAGACCCTGGTGGGGCCAGCCCTGAGTGCTTCTCCCCCAGTTTAAGGCAGGGAGGGGGAAGTAATGTCCAGCCCTTTTAGCCCCCTGCTCTGGAGTTTCAGAGGGCAATGAAGCCATGTCCCTGGGGCTGGCCTGGAGAAGTGGATGAGGCGGTGGTCCCTGTGAACCAGCTGTGGGGAGGGGAGGGCCTGTCCCCTGCTCAGTCTTGACCATATAAGCCGTGGCCACAGGTGTAGGCGGGGTGGGCACGGATGGATGCTGCCTAAGGTGCAGTCCTGAGGCACTTAGGTGGGCGCCTACCTAGGCCCTGTTTCTCAGTTGGCCTTGACCTTGGCAGTGCCTGGAGCTCCATTTTGCTGCTGAAGTGCCCGGGGCAGCCGCTTGCCCTTGGTGTAGGAGTGATACCAAAAATTGGAGAACAGCATGAAGAAGATGGTTCCATACATCCAGATGAGGTGGATGATGACTGGGTACTGGTAGCCACAGCTGGGCATGAAGTAGTACTGGGAGATGTGCAGCGAGACCAGGACAAACTGGATCTAGGGCAGAGAGGCAAGGTAAGAGCAGGAGTGAAACGTTGAGTGGGGAAAAGGGGCGGTAGATTTGAGTTAAGGTAGAGTCCAGACTAGGCATGATGGGGGCAGGGAAAGTCAAGGCCAGGCTGGGGACCCTCACCAGCTGGATGGCCGTCATATGCTTTTTCCACCACAGGTAGGGCTGAGCCACGGGGCCAAGGGCAGACAGTCCATAATACAAGTACATGACGACGTGCACAGAGGAGTTGATCATGGCATGGAAAGAGCCCATTCCTCCTGTAATCCGACAATGAACCAGGGTCAAGCAAGCCAAGCCCCAGGGTTCCCCATTCCTCCCAGTGGCCTTTTTTACCCACTCACCAGGGGCAAACTTGACCCCCCACCACCAGCTCCACGGAAGTACTGAGTGATGGAAGACATGAAGGAAGGTCACCTGCCCATCTTTCTTCCGAAGAATAAAGATCACCTGAGAGAAGATTGAAGGTGGCGGGGGTGTCAGAAGCAGGGTTTCTCCCTTCTCCCCCTCCCCAGGTTCTTAAATAACCACTCACTGTGTCCATCAGCTCAATGAACTTGGAGAACAGGAAGAGCCAGGCTACTCGAACCATCTGCAAAAGGTTAGGGCATCCTTAAGACTCTTCACACTGATCTGAAAGCCTCCCTAAACGGGACGAGCTTAGGTCACCTCGTATTCCCATCCCCCAAGTTGTTTATGATCTAGCCCCTACTTACCCTAAGTGCCTCGGGTTTGTTGGAAAAGTCTACAGGATCACAGCGCCATGTGTAGGTGCTCAGCCAGCCAGACATTAAAAACTAGGAAGAGGTATAGATTAAACTACCAAACCCTCCATCCCATGCTTCCCCTTCTCTCGCTGAAGAGATGGTCTGACACTCTCTGGAGAGGAGAGATGCCGTCCTCTGGTCCTAAGGCCCTTCCCTTATGCTTGGCTAAGAATTCACACATCAGTATCCCAGGGGCCCACCTCGTAGACAATGTAGAGGGAGAGTGCCACCAGTGAGAAGTTGTAGACAATCATGAAACCTCGGAGCTGGAAGGGCTTCCGATTGGCCATGATGCGGGGTCCAAGCGAAAGAACGAAGTACACATACGTCAGGAGGATGGAGGTCATTAGTAGTGGGGACCCCATCAGAGGGTAGCCCTGTATCCGGGGATCTGTGAACAAGGTCCAAGGAGTGAGGAAGTATCGTAGGGTTCAAAATCTCCCAATCGGGCCTGATGAGGTTCACAGAGACTAGTCAGGATAAACCCCAGGTCCAGAGATCCCAGGAAAGGAGAGTGGCCGATGAGCAGGATCTTACCGGAATGCTTCAGCACCTCCTGGTACAAGTTCACGACAGCCTCCATCCTGGCGAAGGACTCTGAGGAGGTATGAAGGGTGGGTGTCAGGTAGGGCCCACTGCATTTTTCCAACCCACCCATGAGCCACAGAAATAGGACACAAAACCAGGTGAGACAACACCCAGTGCCTCCTTGCAGAAAGGGCAGAGAACTGTAAGAGAAGGACATTGCTGGGGATTCGGGGCAGCATCTGCTCCCCACACATCCCGTCTGCCTGGGGAGGGCTGTTCCGCCTTTCCCTCCCTCATCTCACTCTCCTCTAGAGATGTTTATTTGTGGCCTCCTTCCACTCTTACAAGAGTGTACTTAATTCCTGTTCTCAAGAACCTCCCTTTCCCAGAGCTCTGCCTTCCCCAACTGCAGAGAATGAACCTCCAGATTAGACCGCCTTTCTCTCCCTTCCTCACCAGAATCTCTGACACCTCTCATCTCTGGGTCTTCTCTCTAAGGTACTCTCCCCTCTAACCTGTCCCATCTTGTTCTCTCCTCTCCCCTCTCGGGGCTCCCACCTCTCACCATGTCTCCTCTCCCGGAGAGGCTCACATTCCCAGCCCTCCAGTCCCTCCGGGATCCTCAGGGACCTGGGATAACTCCTCTCCCCTGCCCTCCGGAGGGCTCTCACCTCCTTGCCTCTCCGCTCCCGGTGCGTCTGTGGCTGAGCCCTTCCTCTCCTGGAAGC